AGTATGTTCCATAGCCCTTTGTTGTTCAGTAGCAATTTTAGCAAGTGTTTTGTAGCTGGGTTTAGATTCACAATCAGAGTCATCTTCACTTGATGTTTGAAAGTAAGCATCGCGTGATTTTACCTTGGCACTGCGTGCCATGAAGCAGTAGGTGGGAGCAGGATCGTCCTTGTCATCATTAGTGTTGGTGTGGGAGTCATTGTCTTCAGTGTTGAAGATGGACTTGGCAACGTAGGCTGTGGCTAGAGACAGACTTGCAACGCCAGAGTCGGACTCAGCTTCAAATTCCACCTCCGCCTCCTCAGAAGCAGACTCCTCCTCTGAATCCATTTCCTTGCCGACAAAAGCACGAGCTTTGCCAGATGAGCTCTTCTTGTGAGATGAAGACTTTGTTGAGGACTTGGAAGAAGACTTTGAAGATTTCTTCTTCTTCTTCTTGTCATCAGAGTCATATTCCTTGCTCTTCTTCTTCTTCTCGTTGTCCCACTGAGGACACTCAGAGATGTAGTGCCCTGGCTTCTTACACTTGTGACAGGTTCTCTTCTTGTTGTCTTGAGTGGAAGCTTCATCATTTCTTGAACTGGATCGTGAAGACTTTCTGAAGCCATTCTTCTTGGTGAATTTCTGGAACTTCTTCACAAGCATAGCAAGTTCCCTTCCAATGTCTTCAGGATCATCAGAACCGCAGTCAGATTCTTCTTCTTTAGATGAGGAAACAACTTTTGCCTTCAAAGCACGAGTTCGGCCATAGTTGGGGCCATAGATATCTCTTTTCTCAGAAAGCTGGAACTCATGTGTGTTGAGCCTCTCAAGTATATTAGACGGATCGAGAGTCTTGAAGTCAGGATGTTCTTGTATCATGAGGGCAAGGGTGTCAAAGGAGTTGTCAAGAGATCTCAGCAGCGTCTTGACGATTTCATGCTTGGTGATCTCAGTGGCGCCGAGAGCCCGTAGCTCATTTGTGATGTCGGTGAGGCGATCAAACGTGAGCTGGACATTTTCATTGTCGTTTCTCTTGAAGCGGTTGAAGAGGTTGCGAAGAACACTGATCATTTGATCTCTCTGAGTTGAGATGCCTTCGTTGACCTTGGATAGCCAGTCCCAGACTAGCTTTGACGTTTCCAGAGCACTCACACGACCATACTGTCCTTTGGTCAGATGACCACAGATGATGTTCTTTGCAGTCGAGTCCAGTTGAATGAACTTCTTGACATCGGCAGGGGTAACACCTTCACCAGTTTTTGGAACGCCGTTCTTGACGACATACAAGAGGTCGACATCAATGGCTTCAAGATGCATGCACATCTTATTCTTCCAGTAGGGATATTCAGTTCCATCGAACACGAGGCAAGCAGCGGAGACTTTGATTATCCCTGCAGTCGACATAGCTAAACTCCAGGTGGTTAAACCGAATCACACGGAACAAGGGAGTACCTTGCTCTAATACCAATTGAAAGTGCTAGTTATCGACTAGAGGGGGGTGAATAGGCGATTTTTATCAAAGTCTTCAAAACGTGGAAGTTTCGAAGACAAACAGTAGAAATGACCTAATTGATATGCAGCGGAAGATAAACTACAACAAGCAAGCCATAGTCAAGTATGCAATAGTGTTAACGTACGAAGACTAATAGCAGCTAGGTAGTAAGGATCAGGATGGAAGATAGTATGAAGCCAATCAACAATAGTAGTCAAGCAATGAAGTCAAACGGATAAGACAAATAAGCAATGACTTCACGAAGACAAACTCAACGTAAAGGAGGGAAGGGATAGAACCAGTGACTTGTTGAAGACACATGATTTGTTGGACCAGTTCCAGTTGCTGTGACAACTGTACGTCTGGTTAGGAGGCTGAGATTCAACTCAGAAGACCGCGTCTTCACCTTATTCCCCTTGAGCTAAGGACACACAGTCCTCGCCCAATCACTCTGGTAAGTCTTCAAGGTAGACTTCCGAACCTTCACAGACTTCGTTCACCGGCAATCCACAATGACTCTTGGATGCTCAGAACGCGACGCCTAACCGGCTGGAGGATACACAGTCCTCAAGTGTAATAAGTCTTCAGGTCACACAGACAGAAAGACTTCAGTGATGCCTAACACTCTTTGGCTCTGGGTGTTTGGGCTTTGTCCTCGCAAGGATTTCTCTCTCAAAGGCTTCGAGGTGGGTTGCTCTCAAAACGACAAAAGTCGTAAACTAACTCTAAGCAGCCACCAATTTATGGTGTAGGGGGTGGGCTATTTATAGCCACAAGGCAACCCGACCTGATATGTCCGAAATGACCATGGGTCACTAAGGAACTGACACGTGTTCCAACGGTCAGATTTCAAACACACACGGCAACTTTACTTGGGCTACAAGCAAAGCTGACTCATCCAGCTCTGGATAAGATTTACTCTCATTGTCTTCGCTCGAAGACATAGGATTTGGGTTGAGCATCACTTCAGTCACTCTGACTTAGTTCACTTGGACCCCACTTAACAGTACGGTGGTTCCTATGACTCACCACAGAAGAAAAGGAAACAACGAAACAACTCAGTCTTCGCGCTCCATAGTCTTCACTCAATGTCTTCTCATGTCATAGTCTTCAATGTGAACATCTTCACATACCACCATTGTCTTCAATGTCTTCATACATTTTTAGGGGCCATCTCCGGTAGGTAAACCAAATCAATGAGGGACACTACCTGCGTTATCCTGCAATTCTCACAAACGCATTAGTCCCTCAACCAACTTTGTCGTCAATACTCCAAAACCAAATAGGGGTGGCACTAGATGCACTTATAGTGGCGAGTGTAAGCCTTTATCTTGTATTCTCATCTATTCAGTACATGGTATGTTGTAATGATGTCCACCTTACTATGCGCTCGAAATGTGGTTGTGCCCCAATCATGAGTTCATCACGTGATTGGGATAGAATCGCATCTTGGGCGCTAGACTGTGGGTGGCACAAGAGAGCGGCGATGCCAGAGTAGGGTTGACCTGCGGTTGGTGAAGGCACCGGAGAGCTGCGTGGATGGGAGATTGGACCGAAAGCACGAGTTGTGGGTGCTAAAAAACCCTAAGGCTCTAATACCATGTTAGGAATATGCAACTTGTATTCCCACGAGGCCATAGGCCAATATATAATACATGTGCGGGTATAGGATATATAGAAAGCTCCTTATACAATGGGGTAAATACCAAAGGCTGCATGGCTATATAAATTGTACTCTAACAATGTAAACCTACGGAATTACTGCTTTTTTAGGAATATGCAAATATTACTCCCTTTGTTTTTATTTGTTTCGCATATTAGCTTTGTCTAAAGTTAAACTTTATAAACTTTGATCAAGTTTGCAGAAAAAATATCAATATATACACCACTAAATCAATACCATTAGATGAATATATTTACACATCATATAGATTTATTATCGTAAATGTTCATATTGTTTTCTGCAAATTTATAAAGTTTGACTTCATTCAAAGCTAATATGCTTAAATAAAACTGGAGGGAGTATTTAATTAATCATCATCACATACATATAGTAGTAAACGGAGGGAGTACTTAATTAATCATCATCACATATATATAGTAGTAATCCAACTAGTCACACAAGTTTTGGTTTGATGTAAACGGTTGTTCTCTGGTAGCTTGGCGGAGATGAGATGTGATACTCTTTCTTTCCCCTCTAGCAAGGGCGACTAGATCAAAGTGTTACTCTCCTCGTTTAATGCCGACGAGTATGTAGATTCACGCTTCGCCAACTGGTGGCAGGGAGAGGAATCCTGGTGCCTCGGTTCCGGCTAATAGATAGATTAGGGTTTTAGTCATCGCATAGTTGATGCTTCATTTTTGAGTTGGTCTTCTGGGCTCTAAGCCTCTTCGAGTTCATTCATCAGAACAAATCTGACGGAGCTCCGAAGTAGATTTCTACCGGCTCCTTGGGGCAGTGGGGTTAGGGTTTCTCACGGTGTGTTCGCGGCGATGAGGTTTGGTGTCAGGTTCAGATCGATTCAAGGATTCAACAGTGACTACATGGTGCTAGTCGTTAGGGGGCACATGCATGGAGATTTACCGGCTGCCATCCACAAGGTTAGGCCGGTTTTGATATGGGAGCGGTGACAACGGCGCATCAATGCATCGTTCTGGCTGCAGTGGTCGTTCGATGGTCCAGTGACCACGATGTGAAATTCACTATTGGACCCTTTTCGAAAAAAGAAGAAGAGAAAGAAGATGAGATGAGATGGCGCACCGACCGTTTTCTGCATTTGGCTTGTGATGGGAAATGATTGAGCCATACAGAATCGTTCCGGCAATTAAGCTAGTTGCAGTATGATGCAAGGATGAATAATCAACTTGGATCCATCCATCCAACAACGTACTGAACATGGACAAGACAAGATGTAAGGCGGAATGAATGGAAACGGCGCTGGATTATTTATTGGCTTGGCGCCTAGCGTGCACGGCCTGCAGCTTGTTTTGCACGCACACGCAATTGAAACTGGAAAAATAATGAATATAGTAACATACTGCCGCTTATATCCGACGAGGCACGAAATGGAAGACCACACGATCGAAACTGGACCGATGCACCCGTTGTGAGGCTACATTCGTCGTCGCGTTTGATTCCATTCCACTTCCACCACACAAACAAAAGCAGAGAGCACAAGTCCAAGGATTGAATTGACCGATGGTGAGATGTGCTACCAGTAGCTATTGGTCCTACTAAGCCTGCTGCTTTGAATTGTGCCGTACCGACGACGACAGACCGATCAAGGAATGCCACCGGTAAGAAACAATGGGAGTATTCCTTGTTTGCACTTGCTCAACCACACCGTGCTGCACAAAACACAAAACAAAAATGGGCCTAGCATAACTCGACGACAAGAATAAATACTGCTTTTCTTGACAAGAATGCAGAAAAAAAAATCAGCTTATCTTCTTAAAGATGCTCCGACCCCATCTGGACGGATGGCCTACTCTACGGATATCCACGTTGTTCAGTTCAACTGAGGGGTCACAATAGTCTGCTGAGGGACTTGATCAGCAGCTTGATGTTCCGCCGTGTCGCCTCGTCGCCGGTGAAACCAGAGATGTCCGAGCTAATACTCTGAAAGTAACAGGTCAAAAACTTGCATGCCTTCACTCACTTTAAAAATAAAATAAGATAAAGATACAGATACAGACCTCAATGTTCTTCAGAGTAAATATAAGGGTGAATATAGACTGCTTGATTAGATCACTGTTCTCAGGGGTAAGCATGGAGGATTTCAACCTTCTGCACAAGGACAGGTAAAATACAAAGAGTGAAGGTTATCTACCACTTCTTGCATACTACATTCCAAAGGCTATAGGAAAGCGGAAACAGCAGTTGCTGTGATTTCCAATGCAGATAAGCTTCTTTCCAACAAAATATTCTGGGTCCAGTATTACCTCTTCAGAATGCAAAGCAAGTTTTTTTTTTATTAAAATCAATTTTGATTTGTGCAAGGAATATATTACTACAAGTGATGCCCTGAAAAGCACTACCTTAAATCACCAGATGCGTCAGCCAGGCCTTTAGCTATAGTCTCCACATCCTTCACAAGATCACTATCACGCACCTCCGAGAGCAAAGGTTGAACTTCTTCAGCTAATGCTTCAATCTGTTCCACCACTAACATTTTCAGTTGATGCCTATGACATTTAATGGAAGAACAAGTGACCAACATATTTCTCTATTTTCTGCAAATACGTTAACGTCCAGAAAACTGCATATACGGAGAAAGCATCAGCCACCCTCCTTTCGCAAACAGAGAAGAAAACCAAACACCACATTCCAACTGAGTGGAGGTCCCTTCTTCTCGATGATGGTCCTGAAACAGTACTGGCCAAGCATGCTAGCCAGTGCCAGGTAGGTATGCAACAGCGATATGATTGACCTAATATTGAGATTGTCAGCAGTTCAACCAAGTAGCACAGTTTTGACAGAGTTAATTTTGAGCTCTGATAGTGTAAATATGACCAACTTGTTTTAGCCATTCCACAAACAGACCATGCAACTTGGTATGTATGCCCAATACCCATCATATGCAGGACATATATGAAAAGATGCTGATACTTTAGCAATGGTCATAAAATTAGGACATAACATAAAATCAGGCCCCTATAATAGTATCAAATACACCTGGCAACCAAGTCTTTCTTCCAAAATAAAGATTAACTGAGGTTTGGGAATTGGGAAACGCTACCACACAACTGCCAACTTGTCAGCCGGGGGCCATTTGAATTTTGTACAATGAAATCCTATTCAGCAGTATTGAGTAAAATGGATTGGCTTCACCACTCATAAAATAAATGTGGCAAACATATCAAAGGTTGAAAACTATCACGCAAGAATCCTATATCTTATATAACTAATAGGTGATCCCCACTTATTTATCTCAACATGCAGCCATGCCACAATGCATGGGAAAAGGCACACGTCAACATGCAAGCATGGATGCTACTTATATTGAATAAATATTTTTCAAATATAATAAATTATATATATGTTCAGTTCTGGTTCTGGAGTTATTAATCCAAATATTCATGTTCCATACAACTAAATCTGATTGAAATATATTGCAAACCAATCCCCGCAGCAACGGGCGGGGTATCATCTCTAGTTAGTAAGAAGAATGTACCCGTGAAAGGAGAGGTTGTGCTTCTTCCATTATAGATGCAACCTTTTCCGCCAACTTGAAGCTTTTGTGAACACCAATTTCCTCCATGTCTCTTCCTAGACGGGTAAATATACCCACCATTGCATCTAAGCTTACTCCTTGTTGTCCTTTCATTCTCTCTTTGTCACAGAGGATTAAGCCTTCTTTGGAACAGTCTGCCTCCAGTGGACCAACTGAAGGTGTTGGGAGTGGATCTTTTGGTGTAATATCGATCATTGTCTCCATTAGGAGGCCAGATTGATTCACCTCAACCAATGAATTACGGGGCACAATAATTTCATCATCTTCAACCTGCCATATAGAAGGATTCAGCTATCAGAGATCGAGTCCAAAATATTATCATTTTACAAAAAAAAGAAAAGTCTTTACTCAATACACCAAAGAAATGTAAGCATAGGCAACAACAAGAAAAGAAAAAGAAACTATGGATAACAGCTTACTAGCATGCCACTGCCACTCGTATGAAACGGTAACTTCCTCTCAGGGAAAAACCGAAATAGTAACACCCAACTACCTTTGCACAGATTGAAGAATGAGATTCCTAAATAGAGATGGGCCAATGATACATAGCTGAGATAGTGTTGTAAGATGAAATGAAGGTTGAAATGGAGTAACATAAGTGTAAGCTGCAAACTAGGCACATGAATAATTATTCTTCAGATTTTCCAATTTTCAGCCGGCTGATTTTGACTCCATCTTCAGTCAGATTTTTGGGCCGTCCCATCGTGCGGATGCAGCACATATCACGACGCTCACGTGTGGTTCATGAGGCTGGCTTCCACTTCTGGCATGCTGTCTGGTTTTTAGCAGGTTGTCCGGTCTTACCGGGGTTTGTCAGTTACCCATTTTTCGTTTCTGGCCAGCTGGGGAGGGAGCGGTGGATCGCTGCCACGGGGGAAGAGAGAGGAGGGAGCAAAGCAAGGGTGGCAAATGGGCTAATCGCAGTGGGGTATATATGCAGATGGATTCATGTTTTGTCTTGATTGGGAGCAGGGAGATTTCAGTCGGACTGCGCGGATTGCGTCCCCCAATTTCCTAGGGTTTTATAGCAGCCATTGATTTCGTTGGGGACGGTGGTGCTGTCGATTTGTGAATGGGCATTGAATCGATCTACTTGTGGGGCGTTGGTATCCATATCCTCCTTGAAGAGAAACCAAAATTTCAAATCTGGGTGCTAGTTTTTCAAGCAGTGCTATCCTGTGGTGGCCGGTAGCAGCTGTGTGGTGGTCAGTAGCAGTTCTTAATGTGTCTTTTGGCTTGCTATTGCACCATGGTCCCTGATAGGCCCTAACCTGCATTAAGCAATTTTCTCTTTTTTTTTCATCATCAGCTTTGTTTTTCCTTTGAATTGGTGTTTCCTTTGAATTGTCATCACACAGTAGACATTCAAATATGTTCCCAACAGTGCTTTTATGTGATCCACACCCTGTTCAAAAGGGAATAATGCTTATAGGATAGCACACAGCTTCAAATAGGATAGTGCGGGGCTTATATAAGTAGGAGGATAACATATGGGTCTGATTGTAGCTCATCCAACGTTGGGAGACAGGAACAAAGCAGCACTTCAAGTGATGAAGTAGTGAGGTATTACTCTCCACCTTTTGAGTTTCATTACCAAGCACACACCACCAGGAAGCTCACACACTTTATGTGCACTATCGGCAGTTCTCTGTGTTGCTCGGAATGTATGTTTTGCTATTTTTCTAATTGTGAAGCAGTTTCCAACGTAATGCCATTGATACAAATTGGATAAGCACCTCAGGTCACAGTTTACTAACTTATATCACATGTGAACATTTTTGGAAATGTAAATATCACTCTATACCTTAGCTTGAACAGATGTATATTTGATGTGTAAAGTAAAAGACTATTAATCTTGTTTTCAGATTAGCAAATATTTGCGTTACGTAGTTCTCAGTTGTTCAGTATTAATTCTTCTCATTGTAGACTTTTTCTTTCTTCAGTATTATCATTTCCTTTTAGTTTTTATTTTTAATTATTCTCAATCGTGTCTTTATTTTCTTCAATTTCATCATTATTCTCCCTTAACAGTCCTCTATGTTCCTGAGTTTCACCACTTCCATTCTCTTGGTTTCAGTTTCAGTCCGCTCTGTTTGTCAGTTTTTTCATTTCTCTGGGTTACTCAGTCTACCTCAATTTCTCAGTATTTTGTTCTTTCATTCCCAGTTTCCACTCTGTTTGTTAGTTTGATTCACTCTTGGTTTCTCAGTTATTTCATTTCTCTCGGTTACTCAGGTCTACCTTAATTTTTCAGTTTCCTTTATTTTATCATTTTCTTAGTTATTCAGTGTACCTCAATTTGATCTGTTTCTCTCTTGTTTCAGTCTTCTTTAGTTCATCTGTTTTATCAGTTTCTTCTTAGTTTCTCAGTGTACCTCAGTTCAATCTGTTCCTCTTTTTTATTCATTTTTCCTTCTTAGTCCATTATTTTGTTCCTTCCGCTCTCTGTTTATCAGTACCTCTCAGTTCCTTTCTTAGACATTTAGTTTTTCTTTCATTCTCTCAGTTTCCCAACGCCCAGCTCTCGCGCGCCTGAGTGAAGGATGGAGGTCGTCTCGTTATCTCATTTCATGGCATGCACCCAATTTGATGCTATTGCCTTCGGGAATGCAAACCAACAGCAATGGGCTTTTTTTTTTTGAGGTCATGAAGCTAGTGTGCTTCTTTAGTTTAGTCAGGAACTTTTATCCTAGTCATGAAGCCAGTGTGCTTCTTTAGTTCAGTGAGGAGCATTATTTTTGTCAGTCATCTCCCAGTAGAGTTTATTTATGCAGCATGATGTACATTCTCTGCTAAGCCAGAGTAGATCTTTTTTCATTTTATCAATGCATTTTTTTGGCTGCATGAATAGACTAAAATAGTTTTGTAATCGCCGTCGTTGTGCAGTTTTTCTGGGAGCAGCACGGACCAAAAATAACTATGAACTGCGTCCACGGTACTATGACTCTAAGTGTTCTACATGTCGTATAGTTTCCCCTCTGACTGTGTTTCTTGTCTATTCCCTAACTGTATGTTCTGCTCTACGCATTTCTGGCGAGAAAAGGAGCAGCAAACCCGCGTAAGAGGGTCGACTAGGGGACAGACAAAAAAAACCGGCAACCCGAGACCCGACAAAGGATGACAAAGAATTAGCAAACAGGGGGTGTCAACACCAAGCGACAAATTACTGATCCGTACAGAAAAGAAAACTGACTCAAACCGAATTTGAAATCAGCCGGATGATGATTAGACAGACCCTTATTCTTTGGATAGCTGAAATGATTATGGAACAATATAAATGTAACATAATGAGTCACTGAGTGAACTAAATTATGGTTCAGTTTTGAAAAGTGGTTGCGCGAATTGTAAGCAGTCAGGAAGAGAAGGCAATGCAGCACCTTTGAGTCAGGGATTAACAGCTTCATTTCATTTTCAGTTTTCGATAACTGCATTCTACCTAGTACAAACTACAGCGAGAAATCGATGGATGGCAGTGACAAAAGGAAGCGTTGGTATCAATAATTTGATTGAGAAAGAGGGGAGTTGAAACGCACCTCAACATAGGCATCAATACTCCTGAGTGAAGAGTCGACGCGGACGACGCTCCCGACGGTGACACCGCGTATCCTGAGGGGCGTGCCGACGCAGATCCCGCACGCCTGGCTGAACTCGAACACGGCGCTGTACTTGCGGAAGCGCGAGCGCAGCTGGAACCCCCGGAGCCAGCCGAGCGCGAGCGCCAGCAGGGCCGCCCCGAAGACCATGAAGAGCCCCACGCCGCCTTCCCAGACGCTGCGCTTGCCGAATCCGTAGTCCCCAAGAGGCTGCATCGTCCGGCGCCACAGCTCGACGAGCGGGGCGAACGGGTTCCTGCCGCCATCCGGCGACGGCGACGGCGACGCCTCGCCGCCGCTCGCCGCTTCGGGATTCGCTCGGGTCATTGCGGAGCCCCGGTCCCGATCGGTCGATCTGGATCGTAGAGGTTCGAATTCAGCGCCCTGGCTGGGCGTCCTGCGATTTGGTAGGAGGTAGGAGCAGCATACTACGGGGATCGTCCTTGCCATCGCCACTCGGCCATGCTGTTGCAGGACTCCGAGCGCGGGGGAGACGTGCGGGTGGAGAAGTGGGCGGGGAGGAGCAGCAGGTAGGCGGCGCATCTCGGGGGACGGCGGTTGTGGAAGGAGGTAATTTTTTCCTCCCTCTTTTCCGACGTGGGGAACGGAGGAAGAAGAGAGATGAGCTCGGGATGATGGTGCGCATCGAGCGAGAAAGAAATTGCAACAGCCGGGGAATGAATGGGCTGTCTTCAGTGGGCCTGCAAAAGGTAAGGTCGTAACTCGTAAGGAGGCGAGGAGCACTTTTTCTTTCATCACACAGTAGTAACTGGGCTTGTCTCAAAAATTAAAAAAGTAGTAACTGGGCAGCTTAAAAAAAACACTAAGTGGAGCTCCTTTCTGGGACCTCCTACGCGACGCATTTTTTGCGTTAAAGAGCAGCTCAACGCACACGCGACGCACGATTGGGCCGGCCCATCAACGCGAAAGCCGCTTTGTGTTCCCTGTATCGCGCGTGACCTAGAAAAATAAAACAAGTAGGCTACACTAGGATTCATTCCCACGATCACGCTCACACCAGAGTGTAGACTGCGACCAGCTAGCCACTCCACCACAAAGCTGCTACTGAAAATTAAGGCGCGAAACTATATAACAACAGACAACAGGGATAGGATTTTGAAAAAAAAAACAATTTAGAAACATTTCTTGAAAAATTCAAAAAGAAAATCGAAATGCCACAATATTTTTTGATATTCCAAGTTTTTTCTGAAAAAATTGTGAATTTTTTTTGTAACCAGAATTTAGAAAAAACACAAACATTTTTTTGCAAAACCTAAAAGTTTTCTAAAACATGAAAATTTTTGGCAAAAATGAAAGTTTACTGACATTGTAAATTTTTTTGACAACAAGAAACATTTTATTATATTCCTGAAAAAAAATTGGAACAGGAAGATTTTTCTGAAATTGTGAACAAATTTTGGAAATGAGAAAATATTTTTCAAATTTCTGTACATTTTCTGAAACTTAAACCATTTTCTGAAATTGTTAACAATTTTTGGAAACCAGAACATTTTTCTAAAACAGGATCATAACAATTTTTTTGAAAACAAGAACATTTTGAAAAACAATTACTGAACATTTTTTTAAACACAAACATTTCTTAGAAATTGTGAACAAAATTTTGAAATGAGAAAATATTTTTCAAATTTCTGTACATTTTCTGAAAAATAAATCTTTTTCTGAAATTGTTAACAATTTTTGGAAACCAGAACATTTTTCTAAAACAGGATCATAACAAATTTTTGAAAACAAGAACATTTTAAAAAACAATTACTGAACATTTTTTAAACACAATCATTTCTTAGAAATTGTGAACAAAATTTTGAAATAGGAACATTTTTTTGAAATTCCTGAAAGACTTTCTGAAACATGAACATTTTTTCGTAATTTTGAAGAAAAATTTAAAACAGGAACATTTTTTAAAATTTGAAAAAGTGAACATGTTGTAAAATTCTGAATAAATATTTGAAATTCTCGAACAAATGAAACATGAAAAGGAAAAAATAAAAGAGTGAAGAAAAGAAAACAGAAAAAGAAAATAAAAAATTAAAATGAAAACGAAAAGGAAACCGAGAAAGAAACAGAAAAAGAAAATAAAAAAAAGGACAAAAGGGGGCAACAGAAAAAACGGTTCAGGAACATCCAGAAAATAAAAACCCCGGTTGGGAACCACCTAGAAGATTCCAAAACCGGATTCGCCCAAACTTCTGAACGGGCCAGCCATCCGAACGCTCGTCCACCAACCCTGTGCGTCGCCTTACTTGCCGCAGCGAGCCACAAATAGGAATTTCCCCTATTTGGCGACACAGCTCCTATATAGCGCGTAGCTCGCTGCGAAGCGACGTAGCGCATAGCCCCGTTGCGCACTGATGTTTCAATGGGCTGGCCCATTTCGCGGTTTCACCACCAACCGGTTTTGAGGGTTCTAGGACCTTCCCTGAACCGGATTTTTTGGTCTTCTTTGCTTTTCTCTTTTTTGTTACATTTTTTGTTTAATTTTCTGTTTTTCCTTGTTTTTTATTTGCGAAAATATTTTAATATTTTCTTTTTCTTTTTCTTCTCCTTTCCTATTTCTTCTTTTTCGGCCATGTTTCAAATTTGCGAACGATGTTTCTCAAATTGTGAACATTTTTCAAATTGCCAAAACTTTTTTAAAAATTTGTGAACATTTTTGAATTGATGAACAGTTTTTAGAAATTAGTCAACATTTTGGGAAAAATGAACATCTTTTCAAAATCATGAAAATTTCTTGAAATCGTAAAAAAAATCCTAGACATTTTTTTAATTCATGAACATTTTACAGAATCATGAACATTCCTAGAAATTGTGTACATTTTTTGGAAAACGTGAACATGTTTGAAATTTTCTGAGTTTTTGTGCACATTTTTCTTAAATTTATGAACATTTTCTAAAATTCTAGAACATTTTTTTTTAATATTGTGAACATTTTCCTAGAAATTCATGAAATTTTTTAAATTGTAAAAGAACTGATTAGCCGAACATTATTTTTGAACTTGCGAATATTTTTTAATCAGTGAGCATTTATCATTTCCTAATTTCAAATCACGAACAATCTTTGATGTCACAAACAATTCAACATTTTTGCAACTTTTTCTGAAATGCCGAATTATTTTTAAAAAAATAAAAAAGTTGAAGCAGAAAAATATAAAAAGGACAAGGGGCTCCCCGCCCGCACATGGGCCGGCCCATGAGGGCGTGCAGAGGGGCGGGGTGGGTGCACGATCGCAGGGACCTCCTGTTCGGCGCTGCAGGCGCCCGCTAGCGATACTGGCACTCGCACGCCTTGCGTAGCAGGCCAGCCCAGGAAATAGCAGCGAGTCAAGAGGGAAAGTTGTTATAGCCATGCCTATCGCAAAAAATGATAGAAAATGTGATCGAGTCAGGATTCAATCTCAGTCCGCCTATGTGCAAACATTCGAACACAGCGACTACGCAGAACTCCCTTAGCTGTTCATTTTGAGGACATTTGTTGTCCCAGCGTTCCCCTCCCTTTTCCAGTTTTTAGTTTTTATAGAAACGGGGAAGGCAACCGGGTTGGCCCAATCACAGCAGGGGGGCGTGCGCTGCAGGCGCCCGTTAGCTATTGTGAAGGGGGAGGAGAGCCCGGCGTGCTTAAATGATACTTTGCTGGTTCTCATCCCCAAGGTGCAAAATCCAACGTTACTTTCTCAATTTCGCCCGATAAGTTTGTGTAACGCTTTCTATAAGATTGCTTCGAAGGTGCTCTCTAACCGCTTGAAGCTAGTCCTTCCGGATATTATTTCAGAGGAACAATCAGCTTTTGTACCGGGGAGATTGATACAGACAACATCTTCTCGGCCTACGAATGTTTGCACTTTATGAAGAGGAATAGATCAAAAAACAATAGCTACGCTACACTAAAGCTTGATATGATGAAGGCTTATGATCGAGTAGAATGGACCTACTTGAGGTCTATGATGTACAAACTAGGCTTTGCACCGCCGTGGGTTGACATAGTGATGAACATGGTGAGCTCAGTTTCTTTTTTAGTTATGTTCAATGGTGTGAAGTCCGAGGTGTTTACACCCTCACGAGGTATTCGACACGGAGACCCAATCTCTCCATACCTCTTCTTGATAGCAGCGGAGGGCCTTTCGTGCCTCTTAAAATCCCAGAACCAGTCATCCCAGCTCAGCGGTGTAAAGGTAGCACCGTTGGCACCGGCGGTGAATCATCTTTTATTCGCGGATGATAGCCTGTTGTTTTTTAGGGCGAGTGCTAATGGAGCAGAAGAAGTGTCAAACCTATTGGATACTTATTGTATGGCTTCGAGACAAAGAATCAATAAGGAAAAATCCTCAATTTTCTTCAGCAAGGGTTGTCCAGAGATAGTGCGCAACGCTTTTAAATGTTACTTGTAGGTTCCTAATGAATCCTTGAGTGACAGATACCTGGGCAAGCCAACTGATGTGGGCCACTCAAAGAAGGGAACTTTCAAATATTTGAGTGATAGGGTGTGGGATAAGGTGAAAGGCTGGATGAGCAAGTGCCTCTCGGCTGGGGGAAAGGATGTTCTTATCAAATCTGTTGCTCAAGCTATCCTGGTTTACTCTATGTCTTGTTTCAAGCTACCGAGAGGTTTATGTGATCATATAAAGTGTATCATTCAGAAATTTTGGTGGGGATGCAAACAAGGAGAACGCAAGCCAGCTTGGGTCTCTTGGGATGTGATGACGCGACCAAAGCACTTGGGAGGTCTTGGGTTCACGAACCTCGAGCTGTTTAACTTGGCACTGCTGGCTCGCCAAGCCTGGAGATTGCTTCAGGAACCAGGGATCCTCATTGCAAGGATTCTTAAGGCTGCCTACTACCCAGACGGTACGATCCTGGAGGCGGAGCTGGGGACAAGACCGTCTCAAATTTGGCGGGCTATTTTGGAGGGACGGGACTTGTCACGGCAAGGAATTATTCGCTGGATCGGTAATGGCCAAACGACGGATATATGGGGTGACAACTGATCAAAGGAGATGACTCCATGTTCGATCACGTCGCTTGTGGTAGACCCGCCAAGGTATGTCTCAGAGTTGCTTGTCCCAGCCACGGCATCATGGAATGAGGATCTAGTAAGGGTCGTCTTTCTACCTATCGATGCTAATGCGATACTTAAAATACCCATCTGCACACGCAATATAGAAGATTTTTGGTCCTGGTACCCAGAAAAGAAGGGCAACTTCACTATGAGTTCGGCCTACAAATTTTGCAGAAGACCAAACTATAGAGGGAGGAATGGTTGCAAGGTAGAGGTGGGTCGTCCAACTCTGACAGAGATGAAAAATCCTGGAGCTCATTGCGGAAGATCAAGGTCCCTTTGAAGATAAGGATATTCCTATGGAGACCGGCACATCATTCACTTCCAACAACAGATGATTTGAAGAGAAGAAATATGGTTGTACATGATGCTTGTCCGTTGTGTGGCAGCGAGGATTCATGGAAACACGCTCTTGTGGCACGCACCATGTCACGCTGCGTTTGGGCCTTGTCAGAAGATACACTTGTAGCCC